CCCAAAAAAAAACAAAAAACAAGGACACAAATAATCAGTGAGGATCTCATAGCTCAACAATAAACCATGAGAAAACATGTTCAAGTATGTGCACTTGCAACAGAACACATTAATATTGTTATTGTAAATTTGATTACTTATAATTATTAATTATTATTAGTCTTTTTTGACAGTTCTGCAGCTGTTACCTGGATGAGATTAAGTTTTATTCGTTTTTTTATTATTCATTTGCTTAAATTAGGACTACATTATTATGTAATTATTTGTCCCATTTTTTAAATCTAATTTAGCATTTTTTAAAAACTTTTTAAATGCCAAATTGTATATGACATGATTATTTATTATGTAAATATTTATGATTATTTTAAATAAAAATAAAAAAATAGGGTCTAACATTAATTATAGTCTATTAATTCATCTGTCTAATAATGTCTAAAATTTAATAATTATGTCTACCAAGCTCTGATAACGTATGGAATATATTAACAGACTATTCAAATTTTAATAAAACAATAGGCCTATACCTTTAGGAGCACATATGTGTCTGTCACTTTAAAGGTATGGTTCACCCAAAAATGAACATTCTGTCATAATTTACCCAGGTTGTACTAAACCTGCATAACGTCCTTTCTTCTGCTGAACACAAAAGAAAATGCTTTGAAGAATGTGGGTATCTAGCTTCTGAAAAAAAATACTATCAGAATCATTGGGGACCAGAAACTGTTTGGTTACCCACATTCTTCAAAGCAGTGACGTGCACAGACCTCCGGAGGGGCAGGGGCTAAGCAATGTTTCTAGGGCACAATCGCGGTCTGGGGAGGATAGAAATCGCGGTCCGGGGGCACACAGACTGGACCGAAAGGCCACTTTAGCATCAGCGATTAAAGGGGCAGGGGCTCGAACTGGCCATCGGGAGCACCATAATAATAATAATAATAATAATAATGTTTCTTGAACAGCAAATCAGCATATTAGAACGATTTCTGAAGGATCATGCGACACTAATGATGCTGAAAATTCATCACAGGAATAAATTACATTTTAAAATATATTCAAATCGAAAGCAGTTATTTTAAATAGTAAAAATATTTCACAATATTACTGCTCTTGCTGTACTTTGTATCAAATAAATGCAGGCTTGGTGAGCAGAAGAGACTTCTTTAAAAACATTAAAAATCTTACTGTTCAAAAACTTTTGACTGGTAGTATATTTGTATAAAATATAGGTTTGTTAAATCTAGACGGACAGAAAGCGGCTGTCACAGCATGTGAGTACTAAACTAAGTTCTCATTCACACACAAGTTTACGTTAAAAACACACGAGTTACAAAAACAGTCAGTTATGCCTGTGAAGGTAAACAGCTGGGAAATAAATTTATTTTAACGCTTGTTTATTTTAGATCTGTGTGGCAGCAGCAAATATACAGTAGCCTAAATAAATCAATAAATCCACTGCTCTCTTGTCTCCTCTGAGACTGGGACTCTAAATAGTGTTCTGTGCTCGTCTGTGCAGCCGCGCAAGTTCTTTCCGTTCCTGCACTTAAATCGTTTTTAATCACATTAAAATGCGAACGCAGGAATCGTTAAGTAGAATCAAAATGCACGCGTCTTATTGAATACCCGGTTCTAAAATGGAACCGGTTTTCGATACCCAACCGTAGTGATAGCCATACAAATAAATAAATAAATAGGGTTGTCTGTGGTTTCAGAAATTGTTGTGGATGTATAGGCTATATACAGGAAATAAGGGGCCAAAATTGCACCTTTTGGGGTACAACAGCTTGTCACTGGAACAGTACCCTTAAAAGGACATCTTTGTTCCTTTTTTTTTTTTAACCCCTAATAGGTAGGCCTACACAGGGCTCTGAACCGGTTCAAGGAACGAAAACGAACGAAATTTTGACCGGAACAGAACCAGAAACAGAAACTAAATCAATTTTTATAGTTCCGAACAGAATCAAAAATTTGAAATAGCGATTAACCGGTTAATAACGTTATTTTATCGTTCCATTTAATATTTGAAATTTGCTGTCAACCAATCACGAATTTCAGTAGTACGGCCTATGCAAATGTACGCTGACGCCAACGAGTAAAACGTCCGCTCAGCTGTGAACTCATTATAGGTAAGTCACAATGGCAATGCACCGGCGTTAGTTTATTCGAGGAGTGTAAAATGGATTCAACATCACACGCACCTGCAGCGCTTCTGTGAAAAGAGAAAACAGAATAAAACTATAGGCTTACATAAAAAGGAATATAGGCATATTCACGAAATATATTTCACTTAAGTCATTGACAGATTAACAAAACAAAAGAAAAAAAAGTGCTGAGTTACGGTTCATTGCGACGCGTTCCAAAGTTCTCGGAAAGGAAAACGAGACAGCAGATTGCGCAGAAAGTAGTTTACATTATTTTGCAAAAGCTTTACAGTTTTATTTATTTCGCAAAAGCTTGACAGTTTTGAATAATGTCTTGCTTCTATCTGTATAACCAACCAGTATTATATGACCATATCGCGTCGGCGCTTCACGAGCACACAACATATTTTTGCGACAATGCAGCCTGTTCATTATCAAAATAAAATACAGTTAAAGAAACAAATAAAAAGTTACACTACTCCGTTGTACAAAATTTGTTGAGGTCAACGTGACCAGCGCCTCACTGTGCTGATATAGCCGATGTGAAGGATGATGTTTTATGTCGATGAAAGTACAAAGCCTAGCCTATAATAAATAATATTTTAGCATCCAGATACGTGACGAATATGGAAACATTTGTATTCGTGCCGAATGAGAGAGGTAGGTATCAGTTTCAGCTGAAAGGTGCTGTATGTAGGATTGACACCGAGCGGTTGAACTAGGTATTGCAGTCCAAATTCAAAATATTAGAGAGGGTTTTTTTCACCCGGCCCCTCCTCCTCAGACTTGACGCACACGCAGGTTGCCAGATTGATGACACCAACAAGAACGAGCGCACTTGACGATGAATGAAATTAAATACGCTGTGTTTTCCGCCAACTGGCAACCAGGGGTGTCGAAATACAATTGGGTAAACTGGCAGTGGGCCGGTTTCACAAACCAAAACAGAGACCGACATTCCGCCCGGAATGCACATTTTCAAAGGAGAATAACTGACTGTAGCATTGTATTTCAGATAAACAAGTATGTTAACTTAGCATGTTTCTTAAATATCTGCAAACATATTATGGTATTTTTATGCTTTAGTAGAGTCAAAAACTTACATTCAGCACCTTTAAAGGTGACATATTATGAAAATCTGACTTTTCCAGGTTTTAAGTGCTATAATCAGGTCCCAGGTGCATCTAACCAACCAAGGAAACGTGAAAAAGTTTAACCCAGTAACTTTGTTTTGGGAAGCCTTTTTCTGCAAGTGTCTGAGAAAACGAGCGCGTCTGATTTTAAAGAGACAGGGCCCGAAAAACAGTGTGTTTTTGCTTCCACTCAAAATAGGCATTTTCAAAATGATATAATAAATTATTTGTGGAGTATTTTGAGCTGAAACTTCACAGACACATTCTGGGGACACCAGAGACTTATATTACATATTGTAAAAAGGGGCATAATATGTCTCCTTTAAATTAATTTGTTTTTGGATTGACGTTTTAGCCTAAACGCATAGCCTTAACTTTAGAGGATTTGTTGTGAAGAGAAACTAATAAATGTGTTTATAATGTTTGTAAACATTTTGCTTTAGCCTACAGGCATTTTAGCCTACATTATTTCTGAATGTAATAGGGCTAATAAAATGCGACGTGAGCCTATACGCGACTTATGGTTTTTTTCACTTTCAAAACGCAATCTTATAAAAGTAGCGTTTGGTGTGTTGGGTGGGGCGTATGTATTTATTTTGCCCTATAAATAGCGCAAAGAGTAGTGGGTTGCATAACTTCCTGACGGTTGACTTCCGCTGTCTCCTTCCGGTGTCATGATTCTGGAAACGCCATAGTGGGGGAGATAACCCTCAATACGTGAGTGTGAGCATGTGGGCTGTTAATGCGGTCATTTTCGGAGCTGTGGACTTCGTGCTTAGCCTATAGCAGTGAACTGTGTTATGCAGCGGTTCTATCCCACTCTATCGTATAGTTGCGCTCCACTCTTGGATTATGGCAGAGCTCTTTCTTTGTGGAGCTCTTTGCATATGGAACTCTGATGTCTAGGCCCTACTGTTTTGTTTATGATTAATTTTTGTCATTTAAACTTTGTTTATATTTATGGTTCTGATGATTTTTGTATTGCTGTAAATTTTGCTGGTTACGTTTAATTGTTTTTGCTAGCTGAGACTAGTTTTTTCCAACCGTTTAGGTTTGTTAATTCAATTCTCTGTGTTGTAGGAACCAGCCTGCATGGAGTGCTTTCCTCTGGGGTCATCCGGGTTTCCCTTTCTTCACTGCATGGTGGTGTGAGATTTACTGCACTGCATGAGTATCAAGTTGAGAGTGTAACGCTATTTGCATTATTCACTACACCTTTTTTAAAGCTGTTGGTTAATTTGTATATCAGTGCACGTGTGGTGTGTGCGCTTACGTCTGGGGGTCTGTGACCCCATGATTCGCCCCCTTCCTCCAGCAGGCTTGGTAACCCTATATTTTAAGAATGGTGGGTTATGATTTTAATAATTGGCCTAAAGCCTAGATTTTTAAAAGTGTGATTCCCTCTTTTTTAATACTATATTAAAGTTTATCATCCATCTAAATAATGCCTACTGCTTATTAATAAAAGTGTTGAACTTGAAAGTCACGTCTCTGTTCTTCCTTCATTTATGGGCAACTGAACTTGTGTTGCTGTGTTCAGTTATTTCCGTGGGTACAAAACCCCAGTGGCGTAGTCGGAATTTAGTGTGATCGCAGAGTAGCGCTCGGTTACATCTAGAAAAGATGATGCTGTATTGGCTGTGACTAAGCGCAGCGGGTTATAGATTAACGTTACCAGATCTCTTCCTGTTTTTTTTTTTTCTTTTTCTTTTTGAGGAAAGAAAACGCTGTACTTTATTATTATTATTATTATTATTATTGACAAAGAAAATTGTTTTTAAAAAATAACGTTATTAACCAGTATTTCTTCTACACTCTAAAAAATATTGTTTGGACGCAACAAAAAAAATTTACGCAACAGTTTGCATCTATTTTTTGGAGTTAAGGCAACTTCTTCTGAAATTAAGTTCAAATAATAAACTATATTGTGCTATATATACTTAGAAAATTGTGTTAAAACTAACAATTATTAAGTTGAATACTCATAAAAA